TTTGTTTTAAAGAATTCAGTTCTGGATCCGTATCCGAGACATGTCTGGATTGATCAAGTTCAAACTTCACACACACAAGGTACATCATGTCATAAATATGTATGTGCATTTGTTTCATGATCTCATTATCGATAGCCAAATTGCGGCCGCTTTAATGCCGAAAATGCATTGAAATCGCACATTTTAACCATTCCGGGCCTGGATCTCAGTTATGCATGGACGGATTTTGTTCAAATTTGGTACATACATTAAACATAATAGGACCTTGAGGCACGTCATTTTTTTGGGGGGATCGGGTTTGAAATGGCCGACTGTCGGCCATTTTATTTTAAAGAATTCAGTTCTGGATCCGTATCTGAGACATGCCTGGATTGATCGAGTTCAAACTTCACACACACAAGGTACATCATGTCACAAATATGTATGTGCATTTGTTTCATGATCTCATTAACGATAGCCAAATGGCGGCAGCTTTAATGCCGAAAATGCATTGAAATCGCACATTTTAACCATTCCGGGCCTGGATCTCAGTTATGCATGGACGGATTTTGTTCAAATTTGGTACATACATTAAACATAATAGGACCTTGAGGCACGTCATTTTTTTGGGGGGATCAAGTTCGAAATGGCCGACTGGCAGCCCATTTTGTTTTAAAGAATTCAGTTCTGGATCCGTATCCGAGACATGTCTGGATTGATCAAGTTCAAACTTCACACACACATGGTACATTGTACATCATGTCACAAATAGATATGTACATTTGTTTCATGATCCGCTTAACAATAGCTGAATGATGGCAATTTTAAGGCCGAAAATGCATCAAAATCACGTATTTTCACAATTCCGGAACCGGATCTCAGTCATGCATGGATGGATTTTGTTCAGATTTAGTACAATGTGTTGTACATATACAGGTCATGATCTGCTTTGAATGTATATGTCACTCAAATATGAACGGAACAGGGACGTGTCATTGACAATGACTTGTGATAAATACTATCTTAGATCAAATCGTCACCACAAAACTGATCATTGCATAACTAGCTGTGGAATTTTGGGTTGCTGAGAATGACAATGCAGTATGTAAAATAGCCTCAATGACATTTTAGTTAGGGGGCACTGGGCTATCTCTATCTCTGTCCATAGACCCCCCCCCCCGGATAATACAGTTTCTTTTCGACTGTCAGATTTGTTGGTGTTTCACTAAAACTTGTTTACTTCACAATAATTGTCAGCAGGATCTTCGGATAGTTGATTACTTATTACTCCAAGAAGGTGCCCGTTTTTTAAAGGGCGACAGTCGTCGCGCTGCGCATGTGCGATATTTGTGTTGATAAACATTTATTTTTCCCACAATTCAATGCGCTCTTCTAATTCACAAGTATGAGGTTTGGCCAGGGCGCGACTTGCACTAATTTACCGCCAATGACTCCTTCGATACCTTCCAATCCCCTAAAAAAACCTAATTAAAGCTTGGTAACGTCTCAGTTTGTACTCTTTGATCTCTTTTTACCTCCATGATCTGCGCAACAGTCAAAGCCGCTATCTTTGTTTATATGAGACCCATATATCTCGCGCATGCGTGGCGCGACAACTACCGCTGCAAACACTTGACATCGAAAAATGGCCCTCACGCTACCCACAGTCCCTCTAGGGACTGTGCGCTACCTAAAAAAAAAAGTTGCAAATGTAAGTCATTGTCATATTGTTTGAGGTGTGCAGCACCGGAAATTTAAACAATAGATTGAATGAGAAAGTGAGAAACAAAAGGTTCCAATGTTCAAGAGGAAGAATAGAGAACCGGAATCAATGTTGACTATGACAGCTAAGCGAATAAACAAAAACAAATCTTTTAGATTGAGTATCGCATAAACAGCGCCCCATGTCCAGTGTCCTTGCACGCTGGCCACAGTCTGCAGAGATCGCTGTCAAACTGAATAAAGG